TCAGTATACCATAATATCTTTCTTGTTTGTTAGAGAAGAAGTAAGTAAGAGAACTTTACCATGCTTGCTCATGTTTTTGTAGGTAAACTCCTAAATACTGCACAGTAAACTAGCTGGAGCTGTTGTTTCTGTGTGGGCTTATGGCTTATGGAGGTGGGTAAAGGAGCAAGGGTAGGAGTGGGACTTTAATGGAAAGCAGCTGGCCTTTCACATCCATGTGCTCTGTATTTGTGGATACAACCAACAATGGGTCAAAAATAATTAGGAAAAATTATAATGAACATGTACAGACTGTTTACTTGTCATTATTCCCTAAATAATATAATAGAACAACTATTTACATCTCACTTACATTGCACTGGTTATGATAAATAATCTAGAGACAATTTAAATTTTGCAGGAGGATGTGCCAGGCTATACGCAAATATGCCGCCATTATTAGTATAGGGATTTGAGCTCCCATGGATTCTCATGTCAATCTGGGGTCCAGGAGTCAATCCCCCATGGATGCCAAGGGACTATGATATTATTTTTAATCTTCTGAATTTAAAAATTGGTGGCCCTAAACCTGACTAGCAGATGTTAATGGACCATGACTTTTACATGATGGAAATAATCTATATATCAAAGCAGTTGGCAAATTATAATCCTAGGGACTCATTTTCCAAATGCCGATGTAAGTTATGATACAATTGTGATTTTATTTATTGAGCTCCTTTCCCTTCTCATGAGAGTGAAATATATTTATTTTTGTAATTAAAGTGAGTAAGAAATTAGAGGTGGTGGTGGTGGTGGATTTTGTAGTGTGGTTTAATGGTTTCCTTTTGGGGTAATTTATTACCCACCTTATCTCAACACAAGGCCTGGGAAGCTTGCTGTGGAATTTTTCAGATAACTTTCTTTGCTTTATTAATGTGTGGAAGTAGAAGCTTTTTAAGCAGGTTTGTTGTTTTAAACTTGAATTGTGAGGTTTCTATCTAGAATATGTTGGGTTGATTTACATACCTAATCTCCAAAAGGTATGAAGTGGAAGCAGCAGAGGAAGCAAGATATTTGGTGGCAGATGAGAGAGAAGCATAAAGATCACAGATACTTATTGCACTATTTTGACTCTATTCCTACTTATTTATATATATATATATATATATAAATGTGACATCCTGCCCCAGGCCTTAGGGACTGGACATCTAAGGTAGAGTGGACAGAAGTTCCCAGTTCCCAGGGGATATTCTGCAGCAAGTGCTTTCCTGTTAAGACAAGGACAGAACCTTGGAGATTTTACCTGAATGGCTTAAACTCAGTAAACACCAAGTCGGTATTACATGACAGGTGATTAAACAAGGATATACATAAATAAACTAAGCGAAAAGGTATATAGGTCATCGACCGTGGATTGCTATATTTAACTTTTTCCATTATCCTTCATGGTATGTGATATCAAAATTAGAGGAAGAAATGTTCCACCCAGAGGGATCTTTTGTAGAAAATGTTCAACCTTTAAATTTCTGTTGTAAAATGTTGGAGCAAAGGCTAAAGTCAATGGCTCATTTTAGCACTTTCATATATAACTGTTAGGTTGACCATTTAATGGACACATAAACTGTTAGTGGAATTTAGGAAGTCAAGGTGCTTAATTATTATCAGAATACAAAGCATCGAATGCTAATTCGTGTACTCTTTTCCTAAAGAAAAGCTTCAATCACTTACTGATGGACTTAGTCCATTTTGTCATTCATTTTATTCAGAAAGGGAACAGAAAAAATATATAGATACTCATGGCCCTACACCTTTGAAAAGGTGCTAACGTTTTGCCATGTATGATTCAGATTTTTATAAAGTAGAATAAAGCATTATTGATAAAGTTGAAGACGGAGTCCTCCTTGACTCCCCACTTATCACATCCTGAATCAAGTTACTTGGTGAATCCTGTCACCATTTTGAGCATTTAGGCTATGGGCTGTGTGATCACCTGGCCCAAGTCACCATTGGGTCTCACGTGGTTACTGCAGTGGCCCCTTGTTTTCTTCAACAGACTGATCATGTCAGAATATCAGTCACACACATCCCTTGTCTGCGTGG